ATATTACTCTCTCCGTTTTAATTTAGATAACATATTTCGCTTATCGAGAGTCAAATTATATCAAGTTTGTCCAACATTTTAAAATATTTTTTAATCAAATTGACATGAGAAAAATTGCAACTTATAGTAATATTTTTTGTATAATTTTTGAATATTTAAATTTTAATTGTAGAGTACTCAACGTTTAATCAAATTAACTTTCGATATATGCTATCTAAATTAAAACAGAGGGAGTATTAATTTGTTTGGCACCATGAACTTGGTTTTTTTAGGACGATAAGCAACCGAAAAATCGTGATTCAAAGGATTTAATTGAGGTCACAAATCACGTCTTCAAGCAATTTGATTTTAAGTAAGCTTCTTAAAAATAATGTAGGAAAGTGACTTTATTGATTTATTTAAAGAGTCATTATAATCTATAAAATATTATTTTTTTTCTTTTATCCTAATCCGATATTCGACTATGTAGGAATAAAGTGTTCCATATCTAAGCTCGAATTTAGGACTTATAGTTAAAATCAATTAATACTTAACATTCCATCATAATTTTTGTTTGTGTTGCAAAAATATTTGATATTCTCTTTAATTTGATTGAGGGTCAGACATTTTGCTTATTTTATGGAAGCATCTCTTTATATATAGTTTATAGTGCTTGTATTGAGATCTGTTTATATATATTTTATTTTATGGGAAAATTTCATATTAAAACAACTGGGTTGCCTCCTTTTCAACTTTATAGCCCATATTTCAATTTACAATTGAGTAGCCCAAAAATTAGAGGCCCATATCCGAAAAAAGGGACGTTATTTCCGTTTTTTGGGAGTAAGAAGCGGGATTTTCTTTGTTTTAGCAGGATTTTCTCTGATTCTTTCCAATCTTCTTCCCCAAATACTACAAAAACGAGATCTTGCGATCAATGCAGCTCCAAAAACCCTAGAATTTCTTCTTCGTCTCGAATTAACAGCAAATCAAAAACGAAAAGTGAATTTTTTTTGCTGCAAATCAGCACAATTTTCATTTTTGCTGCAATTTTGATTTCAATTTTTTGTTCGATGGAGATTTTTCCAGTTTACGTTCTTCATAGTGGTGAATGGGAAGAAAACAAGTTTATCAATTTCGTCAGCGATTGTGTAATAATCGAGTCGACATTCAGCTACAACAATTTAGTTGCAGCTATTTCGAAACAAATTAGGATCGATAGTGAGTTAAATACAATAGAGATTAACTTTCTCCCAAATGTTGGTTTGCCATCGATCCTGATTTACAACGATACAGGTGTTAAGGTGTATATCGAATTAAAGAAGAAAAACTTGAATTTCACTGAATATCCCTTGTTTGTGACAGTGAAAGAGATTTATGATAATCGTTTGGTTGCTACAAGTTCTAGTTGTGTGGTTGCTACAAGTTCCAGCTGTTTGGTTGCTACAAGTTCAAATTCTAGAGATATATCCACAATTGATAGCACTGAGATTATTGATATCGAATTTATTGAAAACACGAAATTTAGTGAAAACACGGGTATAATAGATGATATATTGAACGAATTTGTTGAGGAAGATCAAGTTTATAAGGATAAAGAGACAGTTGTCAGTGTGATGAAGAACTTGGCTGTACGCGAGAGGTTCCAATTCAAGGTGAAGAGATCAAGCGCAACAAGGTATGTAAATAATTGTATATTCTGTTATATATATGTATAAATATGTATAAAGTAGTATATATTTGTATATAGGTATTAAAATTAGTATATATGTAGTTATGTTTTTGTATACAAGTGTATTTAGAAGTTGAATGATCTTTAATCCTAGGTATCACCTTATGTGTGTGGATGACAATTGTGCTTGGAGTTTCAAATCTTCTGCCGTTTTCAAGGCAAACATATTCAAAGTGAGAAGTTACAATAATAATCACACATGCGGCTATGGTGAAAGATACTTAACACAACGTCAAGCTACTTCGGGTGTAATTGCTAGTATAGTCAAGGACAAGTATGTTAATCCAAAAAAA